AAGTCAATAGTCTTTGTACACAGAGTGTAAGGGATGAGAAAGAGTGATAGACACGCTCATCCATTTCTTCTTCCGAATATGATGTTGTCATCATCATCCTTCGGCCATGGCCGAGATCGAATTCTTAATGTCTTTCCAGGCATCTCCCTCAGCCATCAGGAAGGCTGAGTCATCCTGTTCTTGTTGAGTATCCCTGGCAACAGCATCCAAATAGTTGATTGGTCTTCTTCCTCTGTTGGGATAGGGGAGTCTCCAGTTGACTAGATCTTAGATCATCTGGACCTTTGCACGGAAACAATGGCCGGCAATACAAGCTCTTCTTTTTGCAACAGTAATTGATAGGTTCTATATCGCCATAAATTTGTGCCTTCTTTGATTGTCTCGCCAGGGGATGTTTGCACTTGCTTTTAGGAGTCTGGTGTAGGTGACATCCGTCTTGGAGCTCTTTTTTTTATTGTGTACACTTGTGCACCACACTTGATCTGTTGAGCACAGTGCTGTTACCAATCCTTCCTTTGGTACAATTTCTCACCAACAGCACATGTCCTTCCTTAAAGCTCTCCAAGACATCATCAAAGGCTACTGCTTTGATGGCGCCTCTTTCATCAGCAAATGCAGCATGGCATGTGTGATCCACCAATCTGCTTCTTCACTAACATAGTGTTCAATGGCGTTTCAGGGATGTCAGTGACAGTCCTCCCTGGCCGGCTGCTAATCTTATCTGTGAAACAATATTTATCGTTCAGCGTCTCATCGCTAATTTCGGGCAACTCCCTGAATTTCTTTACAAAGAAGTCTGGCTCCAGGCATGCCTTGAAGTTTCGACTGAAAGGATTCTTGCTCCAGTCATAGTTCTTCCTACTCTTTGCACGAGATGAGTCGCCTTCATTTTTAAAAATGAGCTGCAATGTATGAAATATGACCAAATGGGACTTCTTGATTTGTAATGACAGCAAGATTTGGATTGATTTTGTTCGAACATGCACCTCGGCAGGTTCATCAGTAACCGCAGCTTCTTAACCTTACTATTGCGGAGCAACTCCTGTTCTGGATCGGGGAGTAGCTTGACAGCATGCTCCTGAAGTTATAAAACAGCAAGTCTGTTTTTCAACTTGAATGCGACGCAGTTCCTGACAAACAGGACAGACGTACGCCCCCTGGACCATACATTCTTCAAGTGCCTTGTCGCGCATTAGTCACAGCGCAGGCAGCTCCGGGCTTTCAGCTCTCTGTTCCATTCCATCATGTAAGCATGTAATAGCTTGGCTGAATTTGGCAAGAGTCTCCTTCTCCATCTGTGAATGCGAATATAATGTGCTGGTCGGAAAGGCAATAGTCTCAGTTGGCCCAGATATCCGAGACAACTGGGTCACTAATTTATCAAGGGTATCCCTCCCTTCTAGGGTATTGCACAAAACATCCTCAGCCACGTCCCCCAAATGGTTGAGTGCAACACCCACTTCTTCTTCTGTCAATTCCAGCTGCCTAAATATAGGAATCAAGCTCTTCCACCCATTTTCCTGAAGTCAGGTCCCCAGACTTCTCAGGTGGTCCACAGAATGTAAAAAAAAAATGCAGCTTGGGGTTCCAGTGAACTTTGAAAATAGGTAATTCTTAAATTAAAGGTCAGTTGAGGTTGGCAAATTTGGCTATATGGAATTGCTAAATGGTAGGACGTTGATACCTAAATAAAAGCGCTGATTCTTGCCAGACCAAGCCATGCCGATGCCAATGGATGTGAGCCATTGGGAGCATCTATTCCCACAGCAAGGCCGCACACAGCGACATCTTCTCTCTATCTTCAGTTTTGACCAATCAAGACAGTGTACCAACGTAATTTAATGCATGTTTTGTTCAATAAAGCATAAATTTGTACAATAAACTTATCGGTACAGGTTTCTATACTTAGACTGCTATTCATACCCGCAATACTGCTTCATTTTTTTCCCTATTTATTTAATTTGCTGAGTTATAAACAATGTCAGTTATTTAAAGTTATCTAAAAACGGCAATTTTATTAAACTTAATAAAGCTGACAGCTTAATTTCTGAATGCAAGTAAGTCAATTTCAATTGTACATTACTGTAAAATAGATATTAAGGCATTTATTATTATGTATTTAACGAACGTGCATTATGCATTTGTTATTAACAAGTACATAATTTATTTGAATATTCCAATGGGGTTGCGGTTTGAGTTGCAAACTTTCAAATTTTAATAGAGGGTTGACAAATATATTTTGTTGGTCATATTATTTTGTACTTAACCCTCCTGTTTGAACACTCACACAGAGTCAAAAAGTCCATCCACTTCCCCTGCCATGCCTTTTACACAGTTTAGTCACCGACAGTCAGATACCATTTTAGGGAAGCACTGTGACTAGCCCAATTCAGTCAACAGACAAAAGCAGGAAACTGGCGGTGGCACAGTCAACGCATAGCTGTGTCAAGTTACATAAACAGTCACAGCCAGTCAATCCTGTTTTATGTAGGCTGGGAGCTCTTAACTGTTATAATTAAGTACAGTCACTTGATTGATTTTGACTGAAAGGACAACTTGGCACAGAATGCATGTTTGCATAGGAGGGTTGTATTCAGATAGCTTTGGAATGGATACTGTCTAAAGACCCAATGATAATCGTAAAGTGAACCAATATTACGAACGTCTTCCTCAAGATGTATAGCCTAGACTCGGAGATTGAGAAAGCATTGAAACCATTGCAGTATTATTTTTCTCATTGAGACAGAATTTTCATTTATGTAAAACCATGTCGACATCACGTGATAGACATTCGTCCAATCACATCACCAAATCTATTTCTAAAAAAAGCTTCATTAATTATGTCGAATGCCAATTTATTCAAATTACTCCACATTTGCTACACATCAAAATTACGACATTTTCAAAAAAACCTAGAGTAAAACCACACCAATTGTACGATTTTGGTATAAACCAACACTTTAAGGCGTGATTCTTCTTCAACGTACAATTCACCGCATTTCATCTTGAACAAACACGACATATCTTTGCAAAGTTAGTTTTTTTTTCAATACGGCATTTCTTTTGTTTAAAACATGGCATTACCATGTGGCGCAAAGATTTCAACACCAGTGTACAGTCGACTCTCGTTAATACAACCTACAAATTCTGGTACATGTACATGTAATAGCAAACGTAAAGCTTTGGTACAGTGGATAGGACGGTTGAGTTTGTATTAACAAGACTCGACTGTACATATGCTAAATCCAGACGTATTGATGAGAAGTATGTCCATGTTTGCAGACACAGTACACAGAAACTGAACTGGAATCCACTCGTCAATAATGTAATCGGATTAAGCAGAACTTACAATTGCGTCTCGCCTCACGAGCGTCAATAACGCTCTGTTGCCTATCTGATGCGAAACACTCACTTCTATTCATACGGTGTCCGTGCAAGGCCATTTCTATTGTTCACGTGTCTCGTTTTGATTGCCTGAGGAAATCACTGCTTGAAATGTGTTATTGATGCATGTTCATCCTGCAGATGTAGGATATACATGTACACGTTGAAGTTGACTTCAAAAAAGGAGACTATGTGAGACTACTCATTTTTCCAAGATGTCACAGCGTTCTTTTGGAGAATAATTATGTGGTTTTTTTCTGCTGTCCTAAGACCTAGCTGATAATTTGTTTTAAGGGGTGTTCCAAAACTATCGCTATAGAATAAGGTAGGGCCTATATTATGCATGTGAAAGAATGTATTAAAAATAATATTTGTAAAAACACATAACGGAATAAGTTATTAAATATTGTGCTACACTATAATTGCCTGAATCCATGATCAACAACTTTTTTATTTTTGTTGTCGTGTTTTAAAGTTTGTTATTCATGAATCCCTTCCCTTTCCCACATTATCCTCAATTGTCCACGTATTTGGCACTAGAAGATCGTGTTTCACTCGTTTGGACTTTAGAGACAAGTGTATTCCATTAAGTGTTACTTCACTGGGGGAAATGTAAAAAGGAAGAAAGATGTTTGATGGCCTCTCATCTTAAGAGCGTTTGCCTATCACATTTGTGCCGTATACATTGTACTGTTAAAGAAACCACCCTGTTTTAGTTTACTGGTGATAATAACGTCATTAAATTCTACATGCTTGTCCCTCTTCTAAATTTCCTTTTCATTCAAATCGATTATACTTCCAAAACAATAACAAGAAGGTTGCCAACAACGATGGAAGATTGGTGCACTTGGAAGTACTGCTTCACAAACATGGGTTATGTGTTTGATTCGTCAGATATATTTCACCCGGAAAGCAGATGGTTAAGTAGAGAATCATTCAGAACAAACATGGTATCATTCTGGAAAAATATATATATAAATTTTATTCGTTAAAGTAGTGACAATATTAATACAGTACATTGTATTTATGTATGATACAGTGTACTAGTATCAGCGTTGGTCTTTCCAATGTTTCGGACTCAATTGATGAACTGCAGGGTCGAGTTTAAAATGAACTTGCGTTCGTGACCTTGCAGGCGGTGATATTAATCAGAAGGTATTGAAAGCTCAATGACTTAAATTATCGTAAGGAAGAGTCCAAGAGAGATATCTGTCCTTAAAACTCCGGAAGGAGTGCCTGACTCAGATCGGACACTTTCCTCACTTCCATCGGAACTAAATGTTACTAAAAAGTTCGCTCAGTAAAGTACATGTGTATAAAACATTCAGTCAAAATATCGCATTGATGTACGAGCATTCGCTCCCTTTCAGTCCTGGAACGGGACGTGATTTGCCCATCAAAGCATGGCGGACAACAGTGCGTCACGGTTTGAATCGAGTGAACTCGGGCCAGTTCTTCGGTGCACGCGAAACACCAAATGGAGTTTCCAGTGTAGTAAGGTTTGCACCAGCACCGGATTTTCCTTGCACCTCTCTGTTCAAAGAATATTATACTTAAGGTGCGCACTTTAGCGTACTGATTGACTCAAATTTGCTTAACGAATCCACACTAATCCACACTAATCCAGCATTTTTTCTACCAAGGTTTGAGGGACTTTCCTTAAAAGCCTCAAAAATTGGTCACATAATCACGATCCAACTTTATCTTTCAAGGGTAATCAATCCCGAATCCCGATACCAAGTTATACTGACTGGACCTTCATCAATCCTGCAAAAAAATGCTCCAAAACATTCCTGGTGGAGGTTACGGATCTGTTAGGGTTAGGGTCTTAATATTGTCAGCACATCAAGAACCTCCTATCGAACAGGTTGGGGCACATCACTCCAACCACGTGCTTGACATGTTTCTTTTGGATTTGGTTTGTACCTTATTGGTACCTTGCTCAATGCCGTAAAATCATCTAAAGCTGGAGGGATTCTGAAGTATCTTATAAGAAGATTAAGGTCCATGTCCTTAGCTCTACAAGAACCTCCATGCGAAGAGATGCAGCCACGTCACGCCTACCTCTTTGAGTTTTTTCCCCAGGAAGAGGTTCGTTGCTTATCCGATCCTTCAAATTTCCCCAGACCTTCTGATTGATGTTAAATGATCCGAGAGGATTAAAGTCAGTGTCTTTAGCACAGTGAGATCCTCTTTGCAAAGAGGTTCAATCTCGTCACGCCAACGTCATTGAGAGGTTTCTCTTAGACAATGTTTGTACCTCACGCAATCCTGCAAAAACCTCTAAAATCTGATGTTGGGTTTTGAAGGGTACGGCCATGAAAGTGTCCGTGTCGTCAGCACAGTGAGAAGCTCAGGTTTAACAACGTCACGCCCACGTCTTTTTTTCTTGGGTGACGTTTGTACATTATCAATCATGTAATGCCCTGTTAGGTTTTAAGGTTTGAACACTCCTGAATCCTAAAAGATCCTCCAAAACTTTTGAGAGGATAAAGGGCAATGTCTTCAGCTCAGAGAGAACCTCCTGGCGAAAAGGTTCAACCTCGTCACGCCCACGTCCTTGAGAGGTTTCTCCAGGGCCAGTAGCACCCCATTGCTCCGGAACGGCGGGTCGCAGAGGGCCGACTGGAACTGGGATTGGGAGGTGTCTCGATCCTCGTGGGCGCACTCGGTGGCCGTGTCGATCAGCTCCTGGTGCTCGTTATAGATCTTGTGTAAGCGGAGCTGCTGGATCTCGGAGCGGAGCCTCATCAGCTGGATGGCCAGACGGTGGTCCTGGGATTTCATCTCGATCTGAAAAAAAAATTACATGAACCATTTTTGTTTCATGTTCTTGAATGGAGATTTCCGAGGGGACATCATAACATAGGTTGGCGGTAGTACTGTACTGAATCAGCTCCGATTTTTGAGCACTGAAGAGGTTTGTTTCATATCATACGGGCTGGTTGGTGTGAAATACACTTGAGCCTCATGTGAACCTCACGTGAACCTCACGTGAACTGCACGTGGTTAAACGTGAACATCACGTGAACCGCTCGTGGTTCAAACATGATCATCACGTGAACCGCGCATGAACCTCTCAAGAATCATGATGAAACACGAATCGCGATAGTTTGCCACCTCGTGCCTCAAACCTTTATATTTTTTGCATCCTCATCATGCGATTGCAGCTCTAAAATTAATGCGCGCATATTCATAAAATTAAACCAGACATTTGCCTGCATTGCAGAATGTAACCCGTGCATGTTGAATGTATATTGACTAAACCTCACTATGGAGGTTCAATGAATGAATGCGGCTGTACTGTACGGTAACTAAGGATTGGAAATGGGCCTTTTCTATTTTATAAATTGGACTTGTACTTACCAGTTCTTGTCGCACCCACTGCATTTTCTCTTCCAACCTGTCCCGTCTCTCTTTAAAAGACCTCCAATCTTCTTTCTCGTCATCGCATTGTTCTTTCTTCGTGTTCCCGTTCAAGTCCCGCCACTTTGGCAAGTTTTCGCACCACTCGACATAGGACGGCCGTCGGGTGCTCAACCTCAACCGTGTGGCCATGGACTTGAGCTTGTCCAGCTCGTCCTCGTTATCCGACGACAGTTCGCCGTTGCACTCGGGAGTTGAAGATGGCGGCGTGTACTGCGGTGACAAGAGGTTGCTGGGATCGTACTGTGAGTTCGTGGGTGTCGATGTTTCGGTTTCTTTGATGGTTGCGAGATCGGTGGACGCACCGCGCCTCGGGAAACTCCCCTCCCTGGGGCTGGTTGGGGGCGAGATGGTTATGGCCGGAACAGCGTAGGGAGACATGGCGTGTGATGGGCCCATACTCATGGAGATCTGTTGGAGACAACGAAAGATAAATAGTAGCTTCAGTTTCCCTGTGTGGTTAATTTGATGAAAATGCAAGATGTCGGAATCTTACGCCGCATGGTAAGATTCTGAATGCCATCATCCTGTAAGGCGTGTGGGCCTATAGGCGTATCCCATGTTGGCCATCACTGTCTTTAACGACCGCCGTCCTGTACCATATGATACGATACAGTTTGGACCCCGAAAACTTTTGCAGCGCAATCCAGATATTAACAAACAGATGGTTCAAGAGTCAACAAGGTTTTGATTCAGGTTCTCAACTTAAGTCCAAGACCTAGTGACATGTACATGTTTTCGTTCGAGCAGTAAAACTTGCCAGGAAAAAACAGCCTCACGGAAGGCCAGTGCCCAACTTTAGTAGACCTTATTGCCTAACAAATCGGTGCCCACAAAAGTTGAAACTAAGGCTAAAGACTGACGGGTTACTTCGACAATTTATGATTCTACAGTCGCAGATAATTAAACTCGCGCGTGGGCTAGCTACTGTAGCCTCTGGAACATTAAGAAATTACCACTTCTGATATGGCGCTGTCTGAACATTGTAAAGGCGCATTAAATGTGGATGAACTGCCTAATCGCAGGTTGAAATGTTACCGTTATCTGCTGGTCAACAGTCCTCACACCTGAGCACACACTGTGAAATCTCAACTCCCTGGGGAGAGAAAATTACCTTAAGCGACCAGCCGTGCCCACACGACCGGTGCTGTATTCGTGGTAGTCCTTGGCTGAAGAGTTCTTCAACACACAAGAGTTCTTCAACACACGACTTAAAAAACTCGAGTGGCGTCTTCAGACAGTGCACAACTCAACATATACACACTCTCAAGAGCCGATTATCCGCATGTCAAACAGCGAACCGGTGTCATGAAATGTGTACTTCTTTGAAATCTGGTATTTACCTTTGGACTGTTATCCTCACACGTGACTTGTCACCGTCCACTCATCAGGCACGCGCAATACAATCAAGAGTCTGTATTTCAGAGTCCAACTTTAATGCTACATTAGTCCGCAGTGGCGATGCTTTTTGTGCGTCAGTTCTTTGAGTGAACTCAAGCGTGGATCAAACTATACAGACTACGTCATAATCCGATACCCAACACATCCCGGAGGCCATTCCATCTTTTGTCGTCCATGCATTCATGTTCCATGCAACGTGGAGTCTGATACCGGTGTCATATGAAATTTGGACTCCTACTGAAATCAGCTATGGACTGTACACAATGACCTGTCACTGTCCCTATTATGCTTACTTAGCATGCGCAATACAACCATTTGTCCATACTTCATCGAGTCAAAATTTCACACTACACCGGCATATCGGAATGCATGTCGTTGGCCTCTAAGTTTAACTTCACTACGTGAACTGGATCATGGTTCACTGGTAAACAACCTCGTCACGACAAAAGGTTGAGAACTTTCAATAAAAAACCGAAAGCATGACGGGAACCTTCGATGTGTCCTACCCAGCTGTAAACACGGGTAACAATAAACGGTAGTTTTACTGAACTTTCACTGAACTTTTCTATTATGAGATTTTATCGGCATCTGACATCTAGGCCTAGTTTTCAACAAATTGTTCCTCGAAAGTCAAGGTTTTTACTTCCAGAAAGTTCATTCCGAGTACGTGTAAATTGATATTCATAAATACCTCAGACAGTTTAGCCATTCCTATTGGTCGAGAGCCCGTCACGTGGCCGGTATTAAACGGATGATAAAGACATGGCTAGCTGGTCTTAAACACTTTTCCAGTGTCACAATAAAATGTGGACTCCTAAAAATCCAGTGCCTCTTATCGTTTCATTGGTTGAACGTTCACAATCCTCACGTAGGCATGCGCAACACTACCAGGGAGTTAGAATTTTATAGTTCTAAATTCAAAACGCAACGCGCCAGGTGCGTTCTGCGCGACATCGCGTAGAACATGATACGCGCGCGTCAATCTCCATAAAAGGGTTGTTTTCATCTTACTCGCCAGCTGAACACTCCATTATTTTGCAGGAGGGATGTTTCAAAAAGCATAAAGTGAATTTGTTGAACAAAATCGGGATGTTTTGAACGAATTATATGATTTTTTTTTACCGAAAAGGTATTTATGAATGGGAATAAATATGTACTCCGTCGGTATTTATCACTCTGTTTAATACCACTTAGAGTCTGGGTGCTGATAATTACCCTCGCCTCCGGCTCGGGTAATTATCAGCACCCAGACTCTAAGTGGTATTAAACAGAGTGATAAAAACCTCCGGAGCACACATTTATTCCCTTATTAAAAATGTGGTCAGCATGAAAAATCCACGTGCGGCACGTCGTCGACTCGATCGGTATAATTTCGTGGAAGCGGCGTGTATTGTGGTGGTGAATTACCCGTCGTCAGACTATGCATTTCGTACATACAATCAAAACCTCATTAGCAATTAAGTTTTACCCAGAAATGTTTGTCTGGTCGTATTGAAAGGGAAACATCTCTAGTTGCAATTCAGAAACATTACCCGTGTTTCAAGTTTCCAAGTACATGTTCTGTCGCGGTTTCTATCGTAATGGATTTTGGCCTGATGCCAAAAACACAATTTGGTCCATACTGTACTACATCAATAAACAAACTCTCCCGAGTTCCCAAACCACATGTATAACTATGCATCTTTGCCCTTTCCCCTGAACACTCGTAAATTATTTTGCAACAAACAAGTTGCTTTTACCGTAATTTTCAGAATTGGACAGATTTAGGGGTTTAGTATTTCATAGCAAATATTGTTACACTGACAATGTCGAAAGTTTTGTATTCATGGATGCTTGAAAAAAAAAATGTTGTGCTTGTAGTCTGGTTTCCTGACCCTATTTTAAACAAAACGAAACAACTTATAGACGTCAGGAAATTCTCATGTCAGGGAACCAGACTTGCTGGCTTGCCCCGTTCACGGACGCGTAACCGATTGCAACCAAAATGTGGACCTTTTGGTGCATTGGAGGTAGTATCTGGAAAAAAAAAACACCTGTCCGGTTTTAGTTCCAACAATGGTTGACCAACCATGCACAGCATGCAGTAGCCATGATTTCACAGGATATTGTTTGAGACTATTATTAATTTACAGCCAAGTATTAAAGGTATTTCACAACAATTTGGTAGGTTTTTTTGGCCATGTTTGCAAATGTTAAATGGCCTACATTACCTTTAAGCGTTGTGACTAAATATTTATTTTACATCGCAGCTCACCTGTTACGGAGTAATAGTGAAACCAGTGTAAAAATGCAAGTACGTAGCCGCCGAGTACCAGTGACGAAGTTGAACTTCAGATGTGACCAAAGCCTGTCACTTTCACTAAAGACTGTGACAGATTCAGTTTCCATGCTTTTATTGTGATCTACGTACACTCAATGATTTTGCGTTATTGCTATCAACAGTTATAATGACTAATTGCATTCTAATCATCGCCCTTGATTGAAGTTTGGGCTGTAAATGATATGGTACGTGTCACCTTTGAACGGAAGTCCCACACGGTGGCTCGGTTAAGGACAAATAAGACAGTAGTGCAATAATTCACACACGCATAATACGCAGTGCCAACCAGGAGATACGTCCATGACAACCTCGTTTCCATGGATACGATCTTGCTGCGCCATGTTGGTTCCCATCATGCCTTGCACGCGCCCATGGAATCGAGGCTGCGTCCATGACACTTTCCTGTTGGTTCTGTTCGTGACCGTTAGTCATATTGGTAGTCACTTCCGACTGGTCTGTGATACGTTTTACGCGGAATAATTGACGTCGTACGGTCTGTTTTGGTATGAAAAGTTATCAAGACGAGTGACATGCAAAGAACTTGGCATCTCATTATTTGATTACTAAGTACTGAAATGAAAGTAGTATGAAGCAAGGTAGGGCATTGGCTAATTCCTACAAGGAATTGGATCAATTTCTAGGCAACTTTTTTTTCTACCTATAGCAGTTCCAGAAAAGCACTACTTCCACATTGAAGTATTTGATTCAAAGAAGAGATACAATCCATCAGATTGATGTAGTTCACCTCATTCAACTTACTTCAAGATGTTACTGCTTTGGGACATTTGGGGAAAGCGCACTTGTACATGTACCTAGGACAGTTTGCAATTTTGAATTTTGTTTGGAGCAAACTATTTTGAACAAGTTCTGATTCCAACTTTTTTTCCATGAATCATTCCTGTAAAAGTGGTAGTGTGAGAAAAATGTGTCGGTAAATGTCAGGTTGTATCCCCACCCCTCGGGGAACGACGTCACGACAGGTACGAAAGTGAATGAACTTGTTTTTATCACTTGTTAGGTTAATAATTGTCTAGCAATGTGCTATATGAAAGCGAGCTACGGGTACCTACCGATTCTGCCAAGATAGAAAGTACCAGTCCTCACTACACTGCAATCTGCATGTGGCTATGAGTCTATATGGCTGCTGACAGTTAGCTCTTCAGATGGGCATCCCAAATAGGTAACTGGAAACGATGCGACATGTATGCAAAAAAAACCCGATGGGTTATTGCAAAGGGTTGTAGCTGGGTCAGATAGGTTGAAACATGTATACAGATAGACGTGATTCGAGTCGACACAGCCGCTGCCGAAAGATGACCACTTCACGAAAATAGGTCCATGGGCAGACCTCAATAAGCTTATTGCCCAGATGAACATCTGAGTAGGGTTTACAAGGAAGTCTCCAGATGATGTGAATCTTGGATTCTGTATTAAGGTACATACCTTGTGTGGCTTCTTTTAAGTGTGCCTTTCCTCTCGGCTGTCGACTAGTTTTGAGGCTACAATTTATAACAGGAAACCATTAACTGCAGGAGGTGTGATTTGAGTTGATGCAGTCTTCAAGCTTCCAATGGTATCTCCTCGAGTCGTTGGGGAGAATTAACCTTGTTCACGCAAGAACCTGTAGGACAACCGGAATGTAGCGAGCAGGTTGTCGCTTGAGGTAGTAACACAGGCCTAATATAATATACAGGCTCGAATCAAGTCTAAGGATGAAGTTATAAGCCTCTTCAGATAACAGGGTCAACAGAGCTCAAAAGCCCATGGCATGAGGAAGACTTTGCCGGGACAATGCGCGGCGTGCAGACTCGTCGAGGACATGTCTCCACCTTAATCCTAGTCTTTGTTACCAACCCCGTGTTTATCCAGTTTTACAAGCCGTCTTCTTTTGCCTCTCAAGCAGTATTTGGACAGGAAATGGAGCGGGGCTAGTTGTTCCTTTCAAGTTTCTCTGCAAATGAAGGAAGAGCACACTGGCCCGATTCTCCACTTAAGATATCGAGTTAAGCTAAGGGACAAAAAATGTTGACAAGGAAATGTCGAAGAAGCCTGATACGATGGAAGCTAGCTTGAGCCGATAGGCATTTAAGAAAACGTGTATAAGGAACACAGTAGACGGAGTGATTAATGAATTTGTCAAGGCTGGCTCAACTTGCAATTATGGTGTTGCTCGGAATTCAAATAATATCCTAGTTTTCAGCTTAATGAGAAGGGAGATCGCTCCTGAACAAAATACAAATCTTGCTTTTTCTGTCAAGAAGGCCCTGCATTCGAAATCCAAAGAAAAATTCTACAAAGTCTCACTATGTTACTTTTTTCGTCAGGGTGGCGAGCCGTAATACCGTTTGCATTCTGATCCGACTGGGAACGAAATCGTGGTCAAGAAGGCGAGAAAACAACAATACTTGCAGAGCCAATGAAGGATGCACTAAGGAGAGGATGTCTGAATGCATGCCTTCTTAAGGAGCTTAACAGAATCAATGGTTTGATTGGATATCTTGTAGCGCAGAGAATAGGACCCTGGAACGTCACAACCACCGTGCTGGGATAACCATTACGAGCAAGATGTGCGCCTGCGCGAGCCCTTGATCAATGCATTCTCAAGGGACACACCAATTATGAAACAGACCTTTTTTAAATTTGACGGATAGCATTATAAACGATATGTGTACACGTGAAAATGGCGCCAGACCGTACAGTACATTGTACATGACTATTTACCAAGTTTCATTATCGGACAAATGCCACCATTTCAGTCATGTTCCCTGCATTCAATTACAGTACTGAACGATAATGTTTTTTGAGCAAAAAGGAACCAGACTATTTTTTTCCTTCCAGCCTCGCTTTGGTTACGTTGATTTGAATAGGAAAAAAATCAAGATGGCCGCAACATGATAATGGTCTATTAAACGTCCACGTGATGCTGACCTTTACAAGTGCATATGGCCTAAATGTTAACGGCTGATTGCATTATTATTCTTGTTTACCATCCTAAAGTGTCCAATGTTTGTAACGTTCGTGGCGCGTGTCCGCGCATGCGCACTTCATTCCGGGGTAAATCCAGCACGGGACGGTCCTAGCACGGCCAATCTAACAAAACACACCCATGGGAAAATTGCTGGTGACAGTTCTGTCTCAACGGGTCAACGCGTTAAGCCCATCGTGTTGTCCCTGACAGAGCGGGTATTATCCAGTGGTGATGGTTACTCGGCCCTTGTACGGCTTCCGTACCTTAAGTAGGCCTATCAGTTAATCGAAACTGCAGCTCAAACGGAATATAACGGTGCTAAAGTTTATTCAGCGCATCTGAGGGGAGCATTGGATCACGATTGTGGGTCTTTCGAGCGTTGCAAATGAGTTTTGTGGCGTTGAATGGGATCCAAACGGGAGATACAAACACCCTCTGGTAGAATTCAACATGAAACTTTGCAAGTCAATCTCAACCAGCCAAACCATTGAAAAGTAAAACAAGATCAGTACAATATCATGAACATGTACATGATGCATACATAAGTTCCCCAATACCTATGTTCCCCAATACCTATATGTTTTCCAACCCTAACCCTAACATCTAACCCCAGCCCTCACCCTAAAGGTTTTGAGGAACATAGGTATTGTATTGGGGAACATCGGGTAGACCCCCATGTACACTCCATCATATAAAAAGTGAAGCTTCCTCTCAATCGAATCCCTTTATACTTAATCGAATTCAAGGTCACGGAAATAAATACATTCCTTCTTTTACATACTTTTGGAACTAAACTAATGGCTTTTCATAACTTTTTTCTGGCAAGCAAATGTTCATGCCATAGGAGTTCTAACTGAATGGAATGCATGAAAAAAGCTCGTCAACTATTTCGGCCGGCTATTGACCCTAAACGTTGTTGACGACACAAAGATGTCCCTTGTGTCTCAAAGAAGAGTCCGAATCCAGACCAAACTATTAACTCCTGGGTAGTTAAGTTACAACCTGGAATAATCGAAGACTTTGTACCACAAATTTTGTTTTCAGGTATGCAATTTAAGATTCGGCTTTTTGGCATCTACATGTATAACCATCGTGTAAGGCCCAACCGATGAATAAATTGCACTTTTGTCTATACAATTATGTATTTTTTTTTTATTAACGGTTGGTTGAGAAAGACCAGTCTTGTTCTCATGTATTCAATTTGTTCGACTCTCTATTTCTTACCCAATGTAAACAAAATCTTGTCTACAGGTGCACATCCCCAACCTGTTACAGTTTTAATGGGTTTGTTGATGGGTTTGTCTGATCATTTAAGACATGTCAACCGGAAGTAAACTCATTACTCGCTTCGGCATCCTTTGCGTCTTTGCGCACCCGATCAGCTTTTGTGTCCCAAAAAAGAACATCTTTGGGAAACGACCGTTTAAAATCAGGGAGATGACAAAGAACGGACCTATTAAAGTGTTATTTTTAGGGACTGGGTTTAATAGGATACATCCAGGTATGCAAGGGATGGTTGTGGGGATCTGTGGCGGTCAATAAAGTCGTGAGCGGACGCCATATTTGTTCTGATCACGTGATGTATTATTGCCATCACGTGATATGTTCACGCATGCGTATAATATTGGTTAGTGACGATGTTGCGAAAGACAAAATAAATTGCAACCGGGACTCAGAAACGCGGATTCATTGATTGAATACACACAGACAAAATTGGAGATCAACATCAGAAGATGTGAATTCTATTAATAATAATGTCCAAAATAGTCTGGTTAACGGACCTGACAAATTTAAAATGTGCCCTCAAGCCCATCGCCATTTTGAAAATGATCCCTCCATTCGATTGCAAAATAAAGCGACGTTTTAACTGTAGCTCCATCCCAAATTTCATGAGAAGCACAAGTTCAAAGACGCGTTCAGGTGAGCCTGACCTGCACTACCAAATAAGTGCAGGGGTCACAAAATATTAATTTAAGAGATACAGTATTCTATTTTGGCCAGCGTAGGCAATTTCTGGCTATTTAGTCTGCAACCTACATAGACCCTGAGCGTATACCATGAATGTGAAGCTAGAGGCAGTCGGGGTACCATTTTTGGATAAGCACGCGTGAAACGAGATGTCAAATAAAATACATCACACGAGATTAGCTCCAGTTAATTGGCCACATCTACGACTGCAGATCGTGGAACATAATGAAGACACTCATCCGATATAAACAGTCCATTGGCAGGACTTTTGGAATTCAAAACTTCTAAATCGGATTAGGCTATAAACAGTATGAAAGAAACGATTTTAAGCGAGAATGTGTCGACTACTAGTTAACACCATGGGCATCAATCTTTTTAAGGCGGGGGGGGGGGGGGACAAGTCCCCCTCCACTTTTTAAAGTGGCTGATATCACATTGTTTGTCTTTCCCCCCACTTTTTTCGTTCCCGAATAAAAATTGTAGCATACTAAAATGATTCTAAAGCTTAGAATAGCTGATTCAATAACCCCAAACTCGAAAATGATGTTTAAAAGATGACATTTCGCTGAAAACAAAAAATTGTTTTAGTAGTCAGAAATTGCCTCAGATCCCATCAAAGAGTGCTTATCAAGGTATGTTCCCCCACTTTTAAGAAGCGATTGACGCCCTTGGTTAACACTCGTAAAAGACTACACTAAAAGCACTCTATTCTTTGTAGGTTTATTGTTGATTGTTAAACACATTGCTTGTTTTGTAAAACTCATTATTTTACGGTGTGAATGCTTCGGGTTTTTTTTTTTTTTTTTTACAACAGACTTCGGTTCTACAAATTGCGCGTTAACTTTCGATTCATCGCACACAAATGCGGGGATTTTGCCTGTCTATTCTCTAAATCCTGTGGGAGTTTGTTGGGGTGATTTGGGCTGCGCTCACTTGGGAACTGTGGCGGGGACGCACGGCATCAAAAGGCTCAAAACATGGGACCTTCCAATGCAAGGGCCGGTTTGCAGTTTGGTGTCTACTACACCTCATCAACTAAAAGTGAAATACTTTGTCTGATTTTCCTTCTTTTGTAGAAAAATTGCCCTTGTAAATTACCGGAAGCCCCCCCCCCCACCCCCACCCCCAAATCAGCAACGTTACTGTAAATTTAATGCGCATTTCTCCTTTGTTTTAAAGAAAAATATAATGGAAAGTAAACGGAAACACCATACGCATTTCACGTGGTTTTCTTCGATTTAAAGAAAATTTTACCAAACGAATATGATCATTGAATTACCTCCTAGTAGTAGTAAAGGTACAAGTTGGCGAAAGCACAGTTTGGCGAATACTCTTTTATAATTAGGATTGCTATCCAAAAGTTGACCTCATATTTGCAATGTGTTTCGTTAATTAAAGAATGGATAAAGCTGGACTGTTCATACTTTTAGTCTCATTCTAGTTTTCACTATGATCGAAACTCACCATTTAGTCACTTTCAGTTCTCCGTCTATACTCCTCGAAAACGCAGACTTTTCACCCATCTGCAGTATCTGCGTATCGCAATATCTATTTACGTTGTCCAACCATCAACTCGGAGCAGTAAAGTGTGTAGATATCAAGCTTGCGTGGATGGACGAGGTCGGAGTTTGTGCGCGTGCTTTTCGAGGGATGCTCAAAGTATGTACATGTAGTCGACTACAAACAATGCTTCTAAGATACGAACCAGATCAGTTCTCGGTTTTTACGAGCTGGGATAATGTAATACCGACCCCATCTCGGTAATTATCGACACATTTTGATGAGCGGCCGCATAACCCGTGTTATTTCATGCGGAAAGGAGTTGCACAATGCCTGTTGTCACTGCGATACGAACGCAGAAGTTATGCCAGAAAGGCACCTGACTGCCCCGATGTAGGTTGAAAGGTGGACCAATTTATCAAACGGTGGATGAATGGCGAATGGGAGGAACGGACAATAACGTGCCGAGTGTGCGAGATTAGTTTCCCGACGTCCGTTGTGCGCGTGAGGTGGAGCGTGACGGCAACAAAACAGCCACGGGGCTGGAGGTGCGTTGGTCCCGGGGACAGGACAGTCCGAAGAGTCGACATGATGGTGCATTGCCCAGTGGGGGTGCAATTTCTCACAATGCAAGCTGAGGCAATACCAACCCCATCCGTGTGACCATAACAAGCAGCTTTTAAACCTGATGTTAAGCTTTGAGAGATACCAATTGTTACACTGTAACTCTATTTGACACATTGACGTCTGCCCAACGGCGTTATGTTGTATCCAAGCTTAGCTGAAGAGGCAATGTCCTTTTACAAAAATGAGCTGATTTTTGACAGCAGTACATGTATAACCTCCTTTAGTGGCGCCTATTGCCAGAAATTTGAAATGAATCATGGACCACGATTGACGTAAGTATAGGCATCATACACGTAACAATAATTATCGTTTTTACAGACTTGTAAATTTGAACTCATTTTTGTTCTCCCAGTGTCCTTTGTAATAGGCTACTTCGACGTTCTTCCATGTTGAGACATTATATTTAAAATGAAATAGGCTTCCACCTTGTATGTCTGTTTTGTATAAAACCATAAGAAGAGACCTAAGAATGACTAGTTAAATACTTATCGACCTGTTGTGTGGAATGCATTTGGACCGATCGATATGGTGGGGAAAGTTTGGGAGTGGTTTGGTCAGCCCAATTGTGAACCTATCTAATTAAGAATACAAGAATGTATGGATTAAAAGACGATGTATGGATTGCAATTAGTGGTTATTGTCTATAGAGAAGTGCTATCAACCACTTATAGTTTGAGAGAATACCTTTTGCAGTGCCCAGCTAATAGCGAGTACTCGTCTAATAGTGTCTTGCTCCTTAAAAAAGCTCCTTTTACGAAATTAATGTGTGAAATTCAAAAAAATGGCCGTCAAATTTCAGAATTTGTGAATGGTCATTAATACTAGCATGGCACTAATTTTAGACACATTGTTTTTTTGTGTGTTCATTTTGTTAATTCCTATATGCCTACGAGGCCCAGCACTGTAACAGTTTCTGCGGGTTTTCTTTTTCTTGCGTGATATCAATGGATAACCTTGCCTTTTTGATAGGCGTAAGGACAGTAGAAAGACGGTGAAACCTATGAAAACACAAGCGGCTTAAACGGGTCTTAAAACTCGCCACACAAACCATCAAAAAGTTACATTTGCAATTTGAAAGGAACAAAAAAAGAAACAGGCAATTTATCACCGGGGTGTTGTGGAGGGCAAGAATGGGTGTCAAAATTGAGGCCGTTCTGGTATAAATTTGGTCTGACCTAGAGGGACTGGAGGCAAATTGGTCTGGTCCCCTGACACTGCTACCTTGGACTGTTTACAGTGTCAAATTAGTTTTTCGCCATTTTGGTGGACCTAGATTTGAATGGCATTAAGTTAACATCAATGGAGTTGTTGAAGGTTGGTGTGTGATCAGGAACGGGGTATTTTGGATCTCTCAGGACCCGGGGGGGGGGGGGGGGGGCACATTTTGTGCCCCATCCTAATTTTCATAAAATGCGATGGCCAGTTTTCCTAAAATTTAGCAGGAATGCTGATTGTCATGTTATCTCCAAAATGACGTAATTTGGTTGCACTGCGGTGACCACAAGAGGGCGCCGTACTACTTTTTTTGCCTATTTCTGGTTTAAGTCTTGTATCGTTTGCGGATCCGGGAGTGGGTTGAGGTAGCCCCCCCCCCCCCCGCGATTTTGCTTAATAAAGTCTTTTCAGCTCCCCCCACCCACCCCAACATGTCGTCGACAAATGCAATTCCAGAATGCTTACCGTACTACAGATGATTGTGAATAAGCCATGTCGGTATCCAACTGCGCATGTGCATAACCAGATTTAAACGCGGCATGCAGATAATGCACATCTATGGGGGACATTGTAACCAAATCTGCATTCTGCAATTTTCATGCAGTCAGAAAAACGATGGAAACTTTCGTTCGCAAAAAAAAATAAGGGGATAGCCTTGCATTTTTATCAAAATTGGGCAAAATTTGACTTTTTTACGAAAATCCAAAATATAAGGGGTTAACCTTGCATTTTAATCAAAATTGGGCAAATTCTGACTTTTTTTGGAAAATCCAAAATGTATGGGGTTAGCCTTGCATTTTTATCAAAAATGGGCAAAATTTGACTTTTTTTGCAAAACCAAAAGATAAGGGGTTAACCTTGCATTTTAATCAAAATTGGGCAAAATTTCACTTTTTAGGGAAAATCCAAACGTAAGGGGTTAACCTTGAATCTTTATCAAAATTGGGCAAAATTTGCCTTTTTGAGGAAAATCCAAAAATGTAAGGGGGTAACCTTGCATTTTGATCCAAATTGGGAAAATTCTGACTATTTTTGGAAAACCCAAAATGTAAGGGGTTAGCCTTGCATTTTTATCCAAATGGGCAAAATTTGACTTTTTAGGGAAAATCCTAAATGTAAGGGGTTAGCCTTGCATTTTAATCAAAATTGGGAAAATTCTGACTTTTTTGGGAAAATCCAAAATGTAAAGGGTTAGCCTTGCATTTTTATCAAAAATGGGCAAAAATTCACTTTTTAGGGAAAATCCAAAAGGTAAGGGGTTAACCTTGCATTTTAATCAAAATTGGGCAAATTCTGACTTTTTTTGGGAAAATCCAAAATGTCAGGGGTTAACCTTGCATTTTTATCAAAAATGGGCAAACTTTGACTTTTTTGGCAAAATCCAAAAGATAAGGGGTAAGCCTAACATGTTAATCAAAATTTGGCAAAATTTGACTTTTTAGGGTAAATCCAAAATGTAAGGGGTTAACCTTGCATTTTTATCAAAAATGGGCAAACTTTGACTTTTCTTGACAAAATCCAAAAGATAAGGGGTAAGCCTCACATGTTAATCAAAATTGGGCAAAATTTGACGTTTTAAGAAAAATCCAAAAGGTAAGGGGTTAGCCTTGCATTTAAATCAAAATTGGGCAAAATTTGACCTTTTTTGGAAAATCCAAAATGTAAGGGGTTAGCCTTGATTTTTATCAAAAATGGGGAAAAATTTCACTTTTTAGGGAAAATCCAAAATGGTACCCGCTATGATTTTGCATGCATACGGCGAATTGCATTTCCCGAATGGAGATCGTCAAATCGTGATGTGCACATGCGCAGTTGGAATACTGAACTGGCTAATTGCAAAGTTCCAACACTGGGATTATTCTTATGATATATTTTAAGCATCATTACGTCACAATGAATTACATTTACACTCAAACTGTAGGGTGAACCCCATGTCAATTTATTTGTCAAATTTTCTCTCAATACGTAAGGTTTATCAATAAGTAGAACAACATTTCGTATGTTTTGTTCGGGAACTCACATTCAGAGCCATATTGCAAGAGACAAACAAGACGTTTTTATAATATCCACCATTCTACTAAAAATGCGAGAAATTTAAAGAAATGAAATTTAAAGAAATGAAACAGAGCTAAATTTACTTGTTTGTGTATTTTTGCCTTGATGTATAATAGTCTTACATGTTCTATATATACCTATAAATTGAAAAAGCATTTACTATTAAGTGTACTTACTATCAAATTGTTTATCCCGTGTTTTAACATTTATTTATTTTTGGATTAAATTGATGTAATACCGTACGCCACATGTTGTATCGCTTGAGGGCGCTATATGGGTACAAACACGTGACAATCTTGTTTTGAACCTCAACTTGAATCTCAAAATCAAAGTTTGTAAAAAAAATAATTTTTGAATTGAATTACCATGTTGACTTACATCCATAACACTGGACACGCGTTTAGACCCTCCAAAATGGTACCGAAACAGCGCCCTCCGTCGTTTAAGAATTATAACGTATTTAAACATAATATTATTTAAGAGCTCATTATGTTCTTTTAAATATTTGGTGGCTTAAATTGTGCTTAAATATTATTAATATTACACTTTATTTGACAATTGGACACTGTTGTATTACTTTAATACGTTGATAATGATAGTCATGTGAATATTATTGCACTCCTCTTTTCTTGTACCTATTTAATAGCTTGTAATTAGAAGGAAAAAAATACATGGATTCTTTATTATCAGATGTCCATTTAATTATTCTACATTCATTTCACTAATTTCAACTTTAGAATTGTTGAGTTTTGCAACCGATTTAGCTCAATAAACAATAGAGCATGTGAAGGAAAAGAGAAAAAGTTATCCCTTGCAAATTCCTTGTACAGACTTTCCAATCCAAACGAATATTTAGCTCTTGCAATTTCATATGTTGCGCGAAACTTTAATTAAAAATCATAAGCTTTACCCCTTGCAAAGTAGTTTTGCCGATCCGGGCTCAGCCAGTTCCCCGGACGATCCCCTTGTGTTCAAAAGGTACTTTTTACAAGCCCCGAACCAAGTCCCCAATTTCCAATAAAGGTAATTATATCGCTGAAGTTCTTCAACACCGAAGCAAGAGAAATAACAGATTCTGACAACCGAAGGTTTGTTCAGTGTAATTGTTCATAAAATAGTATAAGTACAAAACGAAACTATAAGTATTTAAAATTTTCGCAAAATTCCTAAGTACTTGTGGCCTCGTGGTAGGTCTGCCCGCTCCGAATCCAAAGATCGCGGGTTCGAATCCCACGTGGTTCGTTTATTATTTTATTTATTTAAGATTGCGTAAGCTGATTCTAAGGGTTTTAATTATAGGAAGTGTGATTTGCACTGGGGGACCCAGTTAGTGAACCCGGTAGAGGTGCCGACGGGTAAGCCGGCGCCCCTGGTTCGAATCCCGGCCGCGGCAACTCGGACTGGCAGCAGGAAAACCTGCGGCCAGTCCGAGTTTTGTATCGCGTGTCTACCCCAACTATATAAAATAAAATAAAATAAACAGAATTTTACTCTTTTTAATTAATATAAAATATAAAGTAAAAAGAAGTAAAAAGATCCAAGTACTACATCGATGGGATTCGAACCCACAACCTTTAGGATAAGTGCTAGGATGCCTTCCACTAGGCCATCACACTCTTCCTACTTGCACAACTTGGAAGTAATATATAAAGGTTCGGATTGGAATTGCGCAATAAAAAAAAAAGAAGTCAGAACCAGCCAGTAGACTGGTTCTGACTCTAAGTTGGCGCGCATGCGCTTTTCTCGTTTCAAGGTTCGTTGTACACAGTACGAACATCATAAGAAATGTTTTAAGTTAGTGCGCATTGGCAACTCGCTTTAAAAATCAAAGTTTTAAATTTTAAATTTTAAGTCGCGCGCATGAGCTCTTCGCCTTTTTTCAAAGAGATTTTGATGGCTAAGTCAGCGCGCATGACAACTAAATTGATACTTTTGGGGTTAAACAGAATACTGTCTCTTGAACACGGAAATAACACATATTGGGAGCAGAGTTCAGTGTAGTTTTCCCAAGTACAGCATGTACACATTTATTCACTGAAATGTAATACAATAAACAAGAAATTGAAAGTCTAGCAAATTGAAAATCTCGGAATCTAGCAAATTTTGGCATTAAAAAGAAGATTTTTAAGCTTTGGCAGGAGCTTCTATACATGTCATTTGGTGGTCGGACGGTCGGTATGTCCCCGGAAAATTGACCAAAATAGGCCTAAGGCCCTACAGTAAATTCCCCACAAAATATCACTTTCAAATATTCACAAAAAAAAATAAAAAATAAAATAAATTAAATACTTAACAAAATTGTTTGTAACAAATGGGAAAGATGTTTATGAAAAGTTTGTAAATGGAGGCAAAATTATGTGCAGTAATGTTATAGTCTAGTCACGTGGTATTTATCACAAATTGCTATAATCTAGGTATACATCTATAAAAGTATGGTGTTCCATGTGTACCATCGGCGTCGCATTTTGGGCGTCGCATTTTTTTCAGCTCTGGCAGGGATCATTTTGATAGATTTCATGCAAGACTTTCATGCAAGACGGCCGGAGCTTATTGTGCACTCGCACTTGTTTTTCAATAAGTTTCCTAAGGTCAAACGGAAGGCGCGTTTTAAATGAAAGGCCAAACTGCGCATAAAGCTTGTTCCAATTTCGTCTTTGTGACGGGAAGTTCGGCCGTTGCAATCTTTGACTGTACTTTCAGCGTGATTTTTCATTTCTTTCTAAGCTCACCAAGGAAAAGATTTCAAAATGGCCAAAATTTCGGGTTAATTTCTGAATCACGGCTTTAATTTTTGTTCTTGCGACAAAGAGAAGTGCGCGCGCATGTCAACTCACGCTTCTTATAAATACAACTGTCCGACAGTCAAGTTTCATCTTTAAATTAACCGGGTTTTTTTTAAACGATGGAGATATTTCATATTGATGCAATAAAACAGAATTGGTTTTCAGTATTTTTTTTGGTCGAAATCAAAGCACAGAAATAGAACTTTGGGCGCATGAGGGCGCTATAACAATACTATCCTCTGGCCATATTAAGTACACTGATACAATTTACCAGCTTCGATCCAAGGATAAAACATGATAAAAATATATTTTTTTTCCAAAATTAAAGCAAATGTTCACTAACGTCAATAACATGGGATTATATTTCTCGACTGAAGCTGTAAACTAGTATGTGCCCCAATATGCCATTGGTACAGCGCCCTCATGCGTTCAAAAATAATATGGCTTGTGGAGATGCAATCCTTTACCCGAATAAAATGGATCCAGAAATAATTATGTTCTACATGTATTTAAACAGATATATTTCTTCTAAATCATACATAAAAATAACTGGACACATTTAGAAATTTACTTATAATTTGTCAATTGAAGTTACTTTGTTCGTGCTATTTCCTGTGAGGGCGCTGTTGCTTTGATAGCGGCATTGAACTTTACTTTCTGAACTTGTAGCTCATTATTGCAGTTGAGACATTAATGCTAAGCTAACTAAGGTCCTAATGGCGTTATAATGGAAATATAACCCCCAAAATAATCTTTCAATTGCTTTAAGGGTGACCGTTTTAGCAGATTTTCGCCTGGATCTGACAATTTTTGGGGTAAAAATCGAATCTAGCAGAAAATCTAGCAGAATAAAAAGTTGAGCAGATTTCTAGCAGAATTCTGTAAAATCGGTGATCATGGTAGAAAAGTATAGTTCCTTTACATTCAGCGTTTACTTAATATTTTTTTGATTTTTTTTTTTTCAAAACAGAAAATAACAAAATAGGGCCTAAATGTACATTCCTCAGTGATGGTTGGTCAGTGTTACCGTAGACCAAATCTGACTGAGAAACATTTCCAAGGGTTATGAACTTTTTCACTTGGTGAATTTTAACAGTCGGTTTACTTTCATATTTCCATACACAGTAACATGTCCACACAAGTTTGAAACAAGTCCATTAGTATTCCGTTCGTAAGCTTGATGAGATATTTATGAATGGATGTCCCTTGCCAAGGGTGGATGTCATTCCCAATATTCTGCAACAAGGATTTCTTGTAAAAACTGCAACTGTCAAATCTGCTGACTACTTTAAATCAGTATACATGTACAATTTAACATGAAAAATTACTACACGAACGTTTTTATATTTAGCTCAGTCTTTATATCCAGTAACGTCGTCTAGAGTTGCGTGAACTTACGGCCTCACAGTGCAAGCAATGTCCCACTTGACGAAAGGGGAAGAGTCAGTCAAGTTGCCCACCAGAAAACAGGTATTTTAGTGGTATTTTTGGAAAAACTGCTCCACATCTTGGTCACAAACGCCGGACTACAACGCTGTTGAAGGGGCAGTGCTTTGTACATGTATACGCATGGCACGTGAAATCGTGTGCACGCTTGAGTGCGATTTATTAAAAGACCGAATTCTGTTCAACAAAAGGCGAGACAAATTGCTTGCAAAGGAAGGATTTGCCCTGACTCGCAATGCAAAGAAAACACAGTGAGGATGCAACTTCACACTTCATCGATTTCGCTTTTGCTACTTAAGCGTTTACTTTCTTAGAGTTTAAGCAATCTCCTGAAGACGGTCAGAGCATATACATGTACTGACCGGAACGTCGAGTTTATACCTCTGGTTCTTTTCAGAACCATTCTCTTAGTTGAGAAATTATTCGCACATGGTGTTTCCGCAAACCTTTCATTATTTAGTATCTCCACCATGCAAAGCCTCAAATCTCACTTAAACACAGTGAAGTCACCACAAGAGGGCGCAATTAGCACTGACTGGAAATCCTATTTGCTAAAAATTCAAAGCCAATACAATGTATACCCTTCCTAGTTTCCACATTACGAGTGATCAACTTTCAAGTACTAAAACTGTACACATATATAAAAAAAAAAAAAAACTTGGAATTTTTCACACAAATCAGACATTTTACAGCAAGCACAAGAAACTATCGGCAATTCAATTATCAATTTTATATTTATTGTGATCAATGCTTTATATACCAACAAAACAAAACCATTCAATAAAATGACTCGTGAACAATCTGGGAGTAAATAATACAGTTGACTCTCGTTAGTACAAACTCTGTTAATACAAATTCTGGTTACCACAAGCATAAAGCGTCGGTCCCGACTGTGTATGTGTTCTGTGCACAATGAATGGGACTGATGTTCTTCTTAATACAAAATTCTGATATAACAAACAATTTGGTTAGATCCAAACGACTTTGTATTAACGAGACTCGACTGTATAAAGCACCGCATCAGAGATTTCGGTTTAGTGTCCAGTTGGAACCAGATACTAAATGCCGATATAAATCAAAACAATATACAAACAATCTTTTATTAATGCTTACTTTTTATAAGTATAAAACATGGATCGGAGTTATATTAATAGAAGCACACATATTTATCAACATGTTTAATAAAATCGACACTTTGGTTTTCAATTAGGCCTATTCGAAGATGTAATACATGACAGAGTTTACAGTGATTTATAGTTTTCTGTTTTTTTTTAACAGTATCGAATTAAGGTTAAAAATCGATACCACAATTAATCGAAATTGCATATCAAGAGTCGATACTGGCACCGAATGTTATGTACATGTACAGAGTTATTGGTGATCTAAGGGTGTGTTTTTTTCTTTATTAAAATTACGGGGAGAATCTGGGGTTTTTTTTCTTTTATAAATTGACTTTGGTCACCTGTTTATGACCTCATGCATCAGTGAATTTAGTTAAGTGGGTTACAATTAGGTTACTAGATAACTGAACTGATTAAAACAAGTTACACTTGCTAAGGAGTTTTTGTATCACGTCAACATAAAATTATTGCCTCAGACGGAAATTTGAAATTAGGCCTACCTAGGCCAATCCAAATTTGAATCTATTATGTAAGAAACCCATATAATGTTAAATGCTTCAAAATTCTTTCCACTGGTCCCACATATACTTAGAAGTAACCATTTTAGCTTACTATCTTTTAAAATTGTAATTTGAACATATTTGGAGCAATAAAAATGAGTTAATTTCGTTATGTATGTACACCTGTATGTGCTTATTTATAGTGGTCCTCTATGTACAAAACGGTGAACGAGTTACGATTAGGAGTTGTAAAAAAAATTATAACCACCAAAAAATCCACGTCATCAAATTTAAGCCGGTGTCACGGTCTCACTTCTCCGGCGTGCTAGCTTCTCCGGGTGGATTCGGCGGATAATTGAGCACGTTATAGTGCACGTTACATGAGCACGATACATGCTCATGTGTCCACTGTGCTTACTTTTCCTAGGGCTGTTGAAGTCTACCAAGCCCATTAATAACACAGTGAAGGACACCTAAGAATGTGTTATGTAACACTTCCTGTGGGTCAAGTCATTCCATGGTCTTGCAAGCATTCTGATTGGTGTTCCCAGCGTCATACATGTGTGTGTGTTCATGGAGGAATAATTAAGAACGAACTCCTTGGTCCGTGTTCCTTGCTCGTTCGTGGTCCATTTTGTCTTTATTATTGCAACCATGGCTTAAAATAAATGTGCATTTCAAGTCTTTTTTTGTTATTGGGAGTTAATAGTGCGTGCCACGAAAATTCTGGATTCGACTGATACCCTGTAACCATTCATACAAATAAGATCTTACGTGCACAAGTACAACCCCGAGGAACTCGGCACACTAATACAGTGACGAAAATGTACACTACTGCGCAATTTTGTGCATGCGTGTTGAAGCGAAATTTTCCTTTTGGAGAAGCTAGCACGCCGGAGAAGCGAGACCGTGACACCGGTGGACGTATAACAGTTGCAAGGGCGATTTTAGTGCACATCAACATAAATAAAGTATTCATAAACAGCCGTCGAATGTGTAATATCCACTAAGCCCTGCCCCGTGATCTTTTGACCAATCACAGCCTTGGTTAACGTCGGACACGCGTGCACAGGATTGATATTCGACACGCGCGCGTGTTGGAATGAAAAGGTGCGCGTGTAGTTGCGCACGTGCGCATAGGGCGGGGCCTATTTTGATCGATCTGTTACCAGTCCACTGAGCTGATCAAAACCTTTCCAATCCTAAAATAAACGAATTAATTTCATGCAAGCCGAGTTTGTGCTAGTGTTTGTTTTTTGCAATCCCTTATAGTATCAATACAATATACACTGTAAATTAACATAACTTAATTAAAATTAAATAAAATCGAGGACTCATAATTTACCATTGCACACTTACAAACTCACCACAAAAAATATATAGAAATCACACCTAATCATAAGTAATCAAAACTAAACTGTGCTAGTTGTTGTTTCTGATCTACGAGTCATTCGGCAAGATTGATCATAACTGTAGGTGAAATCAAAAAAAAATCTTTAAAATTTCCCATTGAAAGTTTAAGGCGAAGGTTTGTTTGGCGTTTGAAAAGAAACCTGTACAATGAGAAGTACTGATTCAAATTTTTCTATTGGCAAAAAGGCAATTCAAAATGTTCCGGACTTCCATCATATTTGGTGTTTTGAAGAAAAAAACCCAAGCACACTCGCACTAAAATTGCTTCTTATTATTATAAAATATAGCTTAATTTCAATTTCAATTTTCAATTCCGATTGTCTGCTAGAACTTGAAAATGTCAAGTAAATGCAAAATAATTAGGAGTTGCAAGGTGGTCTGGAAAGTTAAGAAGAAAGGCTGTGATTATAAAACCGCACAGAAGTTGAAAGGCTTAAATTAAAAACGAACAATTATATAAAACAAAAAAACTCACCATGCATTATCTCAACAGATAGCGGTTGAATAAATAATTTGCTTCATTAAACTGACCAATCACAAGGAGGCTAATAAAACCACAAGAGGTTATTATGTGTACAACGTGAGGAAAAAATACACCAAAAAGAAAAAAACAATAAGGGTATAATATAAATATTTACAACAGACCAAAGACTCATTTAGCATCTTTGGTTTGTAACTCCTTTACTGTCATATATAAAAATCACACATTACTAATGCAAACGATCATAATTTCTTTGGTAATATTCCGTCGCCAAGCGCAGTACAAAATTGGCATCAACTTTGGTTTTCACAGCTGTATGGTACGGCGCCCTCACTCGACCATGTTGGAAGGCAATTGGGCAGTCACGAGGGTGTACAATAATCAGTACTGATTACGATACGACATTCTAAATTATTTCTATCATATAATTTTCTGTAAATAAAAAATTACCAATTGTTTTTCTCCATTCAGCTGCCATCCTATGTTATAAACAATCCCGACTCTAAACAAAACCGTTTTCTCATTTGCATTGAAACCATTCTACTAATTTCCATCTACAGAGAAATCGTTCTTCAACAATCCATAAAAAAAATGGAGTAATTATTGAAAAATATATATTTCAATTGCATTCAAAGGTTAATAAAATAAGTGCAGGTGTGCAGAGTCGGTAAAGTATAGAAATGTGCAATTTCGTTATAAAGAAAAGATGTACTTTTTTATGAATGGGGTTTAGTCTTGTGAGTTTTCTCTGTTTTGATTGGCTGATTCTTTGATCATGCATATTCATGATCCGCAGGTTGCCTTATGTCTCCATATGCCATGATTACTCCAAGAAACGAATAGTTTAATCAATGGGTATTAAACTTTGGAAGAAATGATGAAAATTGTTTTTAAAATTAAACTTCAGAGCAGGGTCGCCTGTGACTTGTGAACCGGCTTGTGATTTACTTGTGAGTACTTCTGATGGACTTGTGAAAAACTTCACACTTTACAACACTGATCTGAAGTCTTGCGACTGACACACTTTTAAACTTATGAATTACGATTGACTTTTGCTGGCTTGCGACTGCTTACGCTCTAACTAACATTGACTTAAGACTGACTTGTCATTTGAAGTCTTGTGATTGGTGAGATGACAACTATTTTCTCTACTTACTGTTCCTTAACTTTTGCTTGGACACTAATCTGAGGACACGGCAGAAGCCATGCTACCGCTATCTAGCGACACAGCCACGGCGGTGGGAGGCGACGGATTCACCCCGGCGAACAGCGTGTGCGCGGCCGCCTGGGCAACCACGTTGGTCGTGGTCTGAATCCCCGTGCTGCCGTGCTCCGAGCCGCCGGGGCTGACCAGGTTCAGCGGGCTGTGGCCGGCCGAGCTCCCGTTGGACAAGAGCCGGTTGGTGTGGCCCCCGTTGCCGTTGTTGGCGTGGCTGGGCTGGTGGTGAACATGTTGTATGTGGTCGAGGTGGTGGGGGTTGTGGGTGGGCTGCAGACGGGGCGAGTTGGTCAGTCCGGAGAGGGACATGTGGCCCGTTACGGAGGGGTGCATACCGTAGTTAAAATGGGGCTCCATCTGCAAGAGAAGAGAAGTGATACCAACGTAATACCTGAGGCCAATTTCATGATAATCTTAGTACGAAATAGATTGTTCCTTACGACTTGAGAATAGCTGAGAAGTGACTTGTGACTTACTTGCGATTGACTTGTAATTCGCACGTGATACTTGCGCTGGAGTTGTGATTGACCCGTGATTTACTTGTACTTGACTTGTGATTGAGTTGTTATGGCTTATGGCTGACTTGTGATTTACTTGTGATCGACTTGCAATTGACTTGCGATTTACTGTTGATTTACTTGTGATTGACACGTGATTAGTATGTGATTAACGTGCGATTGACTGACTTGTGATCGACTTGTGATTTACTTGTGATTTGCTTGTGATTATCTTTACCTTAATTGATGGGCTGTGCATAGACGTTGGCGGCAGTGCGGTGCCCAGAGTGGTATGGCCGTGGGCGTCCTTGGGCGATTTGGGCGTGGCCGACTGCTGCTGACCATTCACCTGCTGCTGCTGTTGCTTGGACGAGCCCTTGGGTTTGCGCTTGCGCGTTTGGATGCCGTCCTTCTTCATCGCTAGAGGGCGGTTCACCTGTGGTTTCAGAAAAAGAAGGAAATTTTGCCGTGAACACTATCAGAATCATTTTCGTTTATCCCAAAAGTGACCTGCGGAATTTATATTTAAAAAAAAGTACTTAGATTACAGATCGTGCTGGTACTAAACACCCCGTGAAATTATTCCGTCTGACTTGCTGTCATATTTTAGAAGAAATTGTAGGTGATTTCCAACGATCAGTCGATTTACAGATTTTTTTGAAAAATAAAGAATTTCGTGATCAAAAGATTGTGCGAGGTTTTTTTTTTTTACTGTTTTCTCGAAAAGTGTAATATCAACTGAGCTGAGATTTCAACTGGTTAGGTTTTGAACAATCCTCTTTGGATTTTGAGTGATGTTATTATTGGAAACGAACAAAATGTATGGAAAGCATATGATCCTATATATGCCTTTAATAAAGTCATGAAAGTCTAAATAGTCACAAATACTCATTTTTAGACGATCAGCCGTATGCGACCGTTGTAGTGTCAATTTGCTGCCTAAATTGAGGGTGTAATGTTGTATTTACGGTTGCCTTGATCGGCATCTTTTTTGTCTGCACACGAGCCTTAGTTGCATTTTTTTGTTTGACGAAGTCCAGGACGCGTGCCTCCCAGCGCGCCGGATCAAGCAGGCGCCCCGTGCCAGCCCGGCGCAAGGGATCCCCTCAGCTCCGCTTGTTTGGCTGGCCGGGGGATCAGGACCGGATCAAGGGATTTGCTGGTTCTGTCTCTCTAAAACCGCAAAAAAAAAGGGTTTCAAAAAACCGGTTGGTTGACTAGCCATGGAGAAGAGAGCAACCAGTTTTGCCGATCGGTTTTAGTGCAGTGTTCAGATTTTAAGGGAACAGCTTGCTTTTTTTGTCTTTTAGAATGTGGCAACAAAGCTTTTTTTTACAACAGAGATCATCACGTAGCTTCTGTGCATTACATAATCGCTTAGTAAAAAATATTGTCTTTTCTCCGGAAAAATTCGGAATATATACCTTTCAACTTTCTTGTGGAACACTTGATTAATTGATATTGTTCCTATTTTGGTTTAGGACTTTACAGACATCTTCCACAAGCCTCGAAACATTTTCCCAGCGTGACTTCATGTTACCTATGTCAACAAATCTGCGAATTGTTCAAAATTTATCCCGGAACTTCCAAAACAGTTTTGACAAGTTGTACCACCCAAAATGCCCGGCGGAACCCCACATAAACTCGCACATTTTCATGGCATCCACAGAAATATTTATTTAACAATGTGGCGTGAAATATGAAGACCCACCACTCTCGTTAAAAACAAAACAATAAACACTTCATGTTTCCACTGAGTTATTTATAGCGTCTTCACTTTGACTTTTAAACAGCATGGACGACCAACATTGTGTACTTCCAGTAAAACATCGCGGGCTCTTTAGGGCCCTGACTTGATGGATTTATGGTTAGGTTTTACCGCAATGATTTAAGGCACCTTTTTACACAAAATCTAAGTGGTTATTGGTCAATTTGTGTAATGGTGCGACCGCAACAAACAACACTTAAAAACTGAAAGGCCTCAGAACCCTTAGCGCGATAGAAAAAAAATAGATGGTTCAGCCAAAAAAATCTTGGAAATGAATGACTTAAGTGCTCGGCGTTCGCTCAATTCGTTCGAGGTACACACATGACATGCGCGCCAAAAGAAAACGACTGCGTTAACTGGCGTTGATTGATGCCACCTTGGCCTTCTGGGAGCAAAGATCGCCCTCATCGGTTGGTCGGGGTCAGGCCAAAAGGTCAACGGGGTCGACGACTGTTTATTGAAGGTAATCCTGGAGTATGTCCCAGTAGACTTGTCGGTTTTAGTGACGGACAGCTCAATAGACACTTTACGCGTTCTCAAATAAACAGTAATATTTTTGCTGCACTTGTTTTTTTTTCGCTGAAAGCATTCCCCCCCTTATTTTTTCTACAAATGGAGAGGATTAAAAAAAAGAGTTAAAACCGCTACTACGAATGATCATAGGGCTGATAACTTGACTGAAAATCGGATTTTCAGATTATTGTTTGCGTTGACATTGCAAAAGTGTTTTTGTCTTTTCAATGATGAAGACAATGACGATGATGAACAAAAAACGTAAACAATATCCATCTGGCATGTAATTATTCCTAGTAAGCTTATAATATTATAATGTATTAACCTTCCAGCATATTTATCGGGGATAATGGAATCCTGTTTACTACATGTATTGCGATAAGGTAGCTTGCCGAAGGACACAAATAACATGTCCGAAACGGATTGATTTGAGTATTCGTTTGTGTAAAACCTTCAGGTATGAATTATTTTCGCGGATATAATGAAACCCTCTTTACTATTGTGGTAAAACATCCTGCCCAAGGATGTATTGGGTTTAATACGCGTTTGCAAAAGAACGATCGATACACCATACAGACCATATGAATCTGTTTCAATTTTTTTGTGGACAGTGTTCGAAAAATTCGACAGCATGTTTTTTTCACCGACAAGGGTCAGAGAATAAACTCAGTTGGAGCTGTTTCGTCAAATTAATAAAAAGTGGCATATTTCATGGAAATGCTATCAGAATAGAACGGTGCTTGGTACGGACAACACTTCCTCAAAGCGAACAAAGTTTCCGGCCGAACCCTCGATTAATACAATTACAGTGAAATCTCGATAAGTCAAATTAAACTCCGATAACTCAAAACAACTGTTAGTCAAACAAAGAATCCATTGCCTTCAGTAGAAAAACAATCGTATACAACCCTGCTTAACTCAAACCTCTGCATAAGTCAAATTTTAAACCTGTTCCCTTGAGGTTTGACTTATCAAGATTTCACTGTATATTAATACTGATTGGTTCCCGTTTTTACATACATTTGCCAAAGTTCGTTTGACGGGAACTACTTTTCTTGTACCAAAACAAAGGCCAGGAAATGACACACTTACGCTGTGCAGTTTGTAGTACAGGCCGCAAGCGTTGCAGACCGGTTCACCCTCTTTATTCCTCCGCCAGAGCGTTGTGGTAGTGGTATGGCAGTTGGCGCACACGATGCCCTCACGGCGTGAGCCGGATTGCTGCCAAAACACAAAACAGAAATACGTTTTCAAGTTTTGAATTTCAGAAGCAAACAATTAAATTTTGCGAATCCCAATCTCTGTTTGAGAACTTTAATCACAACCACTTTTACCGCTTTTACCAAATTTACATGTTCGCTTTTAAAATTACAAGCACCAACACAATGTAAAACCTTCAATGATACAGTTGAATCAATTTTGAAAAATCTGGTTTTACACTTACGAAGTGTTAAGAATTGTTTAATTATGCACAGAAAAAAGAGTGGAAATAAACAGTTAATTTCATTAATGTAAAGATATCGGAGAATCATGCTGAAACAGAAGAAGTTAGTTGAAATCTCAATACAATGTAATTACATAAAAAGTTCACAAAATCCCCACAACAAGAGGACAATTAAGTTAAAACTGAATTTACAATGGGGCAAACTTCACGCGCAGAGCAAACTTCATAAAATTAGTATTTCGTTCAGTTTTTTGTGACGAAATAAATATAATAAAAAATAGTTTGAGTAATTATTCTGCGCTTCAAACTTAACCAAAAAATTAACCGCTGAAAACCAATTCGGCCAAAAACAAAATTGAAATTCATCTCAGCGCTCCGATTTTTTTTTTTCTTCAAAAGATGTTGCACGAGGCTAAAATTCAAAGGTCAAAGTTCAAAGTTTAAAAACCAAACGATAAACTTTGTCCATTTTAAAAATCATAAAGAAAACGGATTAGTAGAAAACGAAATGCATGCATGATTAAAAAAAATACTCCATGCCGTTTGGATTTACGTATAAATTCTTTGCAAAAACAAAGTTTTAATAAAAGCATTTAAGTAGTTTCTCAAAGAAAAAATAGAAATTAGAGAGCGCATTAATTTTTTTCCTTCAAATTTGGCATCGAATTGACCGAGCACTGAGATTTAATCGGCATTTTGTCTTGGCCTTACCGGTTTCCAGCGCCGGTCCTTAAAGCGCAGAAGGTTCGGATCCAGGCCCTCAATGGTCATGTCCGGCGCCTTCTCGCATAGTTCTCCCAACTCGTCCTGTGGGCATAGAATCAAGTGGTTTCTTCAAGATTTTGACTTTTAAAATGGGGAGATACCGGTAGTTCTTTTTTACACGGTCTCATTCGTATTTCAAAGGCACATATAAGGATCATTAATCACCTACCGAATCATCGCCTAAAAGCTCACTTGGATTAAAGATCATATACTGGTACAAAACACAAAATATTGTCCAGAGAATTAAAATCTCAGTCGAAGGTATCACTTCATCTTTAAAATTACAGTCCTTCTGTTTTGAGGCGTGCGATCACACCCCCACGCCATCACACGCCTAAAAGCTTCCTGAGAAGTGCGAATAATCGCACGCCTGAATCCTCAGTACGCACACCTCGGCATACATTTACAGCATAATTATACTTCATAATTTGTGAAAAATAAAGTACGTCAGTGAAGAGAAAATGGCCTAATTGTAAACCACGATGAATATTATGAAATAATATCCCAGCTTGGACCATAAAATCACACACCTAGAAAAATCACTCGCCTAGAAAATCACACGCCTAGAAAAATCACACGCCTAAACAAATCCAGGTGTGCCTTTTTCCACACACCCGTGATTTTGAAACCAGAAACATATTTTTCAATATGTTTAAAGCGACAAAGATCAACTTCTGAACTTTTTACTCGATAAAGGGGTTGGGCCGGTACATGCTGAAATATCCGCAACTGAATGATAGTATCACATTTCCCCGCACGTCCCGGTAATTCATGTTCGCCATGATAAGGCATTTTGAGGCATTCTCCCTTCGCCGAGTCAGACATCCTCGTCCGTCATCATCAACGGGACACATGTTCTCCCAGCTCCCCTCCCTTCGGCCTCATGGCATACCGGCAGTGATGGATGCAAAGCTCTAGTTTTATCGCTTCGTCGTTTGCTTTTATCTCACTGCTCGCGCTCCGTGGACACTATGACGGAGGGCTAGGCCGGTGTCAGGTTTGTCTGGTCCCGGAGATAAACTTGGGGATGTTGTCTACAGAGTTGGTAATGGACGGCCGATCCTTGGCATTTTGCCCGGATCGCTCATCAGAGATAGTACCACAGTGCGAGGCAATAGAGGTTGGGCAGTAATGTTGATGGTGGGTTGGGTGTGGAGAGTGGGTGGGGTTGATATCGCGGAGTTCAAGAGGGCACACATTGAAAAGAAGTGTACAGGAAGACGTTTTAAGACTCTATGAACTCCGCGGACGAGCGGTAGAGGGCGTTGCCTCACTGTGACGTCAGATGCAATGGCACTATATTTCTGCTTTGCAAGTGCATGCTACTTTAAGCAAGTTCGATCAAGAACCATAGTAGACTAGTGGTTGATTTGAAATATAACTTATTCAGAATTATTCTTTCTGGCTTCTTGAATGGTTTTACATATTTTACTCAATTTAATATACGTGGAAAATCTGAGGACATATATTTCGGAATTTCGTCATACCTGTCAAGAATTCCGAGAGAAAAAAAAGCGTTTGTTATTGTGGCAGCCTGTTTTGCGCATGCGCAATGACCTTTTGAAAGGCGTGACCCGAGAGAAATGCGCGCAGAATATTTTCTGATACTGGTAAAAATGCTGTCGTGTTCCGTCGTAAGTAACCAGAGTGACACGCTCGAACGCAGCCAGACTCAAGGTGGAATAAATGAATAAATGAATATATGAATAAATTGATGTCGGGGGGAGGGACTCACCAGGCGTCGCTGGGGCTTGATGAGAGGCCGGCTCATCCCATTCATCTTGTGGTACAGACCGCAGGCGTTGCAGAGGTAGTGACCGGTACCATCCCGTCGCCACAGAGGCGTGGAAATGGCCCCGCAGTTGACGCACTCTCTCCCGACTGGGTGGAATAAATGAATTTATGAATAAATGACTAATAATTAGGTAAGAAGTAACCGGTGGTCGTCCGGCAGTAACATAGTATTTGGAGATGGCAGCCAACTACTACCCGTTCTCCAGACTACTCGTACATGAATACATTTGGCATTTAATAATAATAATAACTAGAGGTTGAAGGAACAACCACACGGTGTTGGGCCATGAATTACCGCAAACTTTGCCACACACATCAACTCAAAATATGCATGTTTACATCCATGTTTGACTTTTCAACATGCCGCCAGAGGGCGCTCTAACATTTGATGACGTCACCTGTAAAATTTTTGTAAACAGTTCTGGAGAAGGATTTGCTGAGAATATGCTGAGAAGAACAAAAACAGTAAATTCTTACAAAACCAATAGTTGTTGGGCTCAAGGCCCAACACCTAATAATAATGAACATTTCTATAGCGCCAAAATCCGTCTAAAAAGACGCTCAAGGCGCTTTACAAGTTTGAAAAATAAACTATTATTATAACATTAAATTAAAGAAAAAAAATTAATTGTAACGTTAATTGCACAACAAGTGACCGGCGCCGCCCAACGCCACAGAATGGGTGGATCCAGTACCGATAGGTTGGAATTAATGGATGGATGAATGAAATGAATGCCAATTTAAATTCATGAATATATGAATAATTTGTAAGAAATAATATGACAAACTAGCTATGAGACAGAAGAAGTGTTCCTCTTTTAAATATATTTTGAATCACAGACTTTTTCGCACGAGACATTTTTTTTGTACAGTTGGTGCACTGCACAGTTTAAGACTAGGCATAAATGAATATCCTCATCAGCAATTATCATGCATAAATTAACCAGATGCACTCGGACAACATAATTTCATATTAAGCCGCTTTTGTTAACAATGACTTTTTTTCAGTCCCTTTTTTTCCATAAAACGGACTGAAAATAATTGTCGAAAAACGGCTTTTTAGTGTGTTGAATATTACCACTCGCTGTCTACCTGACGTCATGTACTTGTACTGAATAAATGAATAAGTTAGGGAAGGACACGTGACATGAAGTGCACAGTCCAACACAATATGCAAGTCATTAATATGCAAATCATAAATCGATGAATATGAAAGAGGAAGTCATGAGATATGGCAATTTGACATGAGCTTTTGGAAGCATTCATATAGCCAAATCGATAAGTATATCGAATAGAACTGACAAGGTGATTACAATTGTAAAAGTTCGACTAAATGAATGGATATGTAAAACAGAGCAAGTTCTAGTTAATTTAATGAGTGATGAAATGCAATGAGGACTGCTTAAACCATGACATTTAAAGTGTACAGTAACAAAGATTTGATGCAAAAAGGAGTTTCTTTTAAAGGTAATATACAACATTTGGTTTTTTTTTGTTATTTTCAGAATGGATTTGGGGTTAGCATTTTATAGCAAATATTGGAAACACAGACATTTTTGTGCCAATATATGCTGGAAAACCACGAGAAAAAATGTTGTTCTGTGTAGTCTGGTTCCCTTAGCCTACTTCAGACCAAGCAGAGCAATTTAAAGACGTCGGGGAATTGTCAGGTCAGGGAACCAGACTAGCTAGCTTGCATCAGTTCACGAATGTGAAAACGTAACAAACAATATGTGGAGTAACTAAATTTGGTAAATTGAGGGCATTATTTGAAAAAAAAAACCCACATTTTTTTTCCAACGATGGTCGGAAATTGAAACAAACATTCCACTTGAAATGACGGCACAACATGCAGGTGCCATGATTTCACAGGATGCTTGAGACCGTTACTCACTCACAGTCCAGTAAGATAATTCATAATAATTTGGATGTTTTGTTTTTTAATGTTTGCAATTAATTATTACCTTTAAGTGTTTGTTTATACATTGTAATACTTACTTCCAAAGTCCTGTGTCCACATGTCACTCTCTGCAGAAGTGAGAAGAAAAGAGAACAAAGAAATATGTTACATCACCAACTTCAAAATTTCTTAAACGGACTGAATTTGCAAATATAGGCCTACACCTAAAATGGCGAAACGTTAAACAGAAACATTTTTGCTAGCAAATTTGAAGATTCTTTTGATTTAATAAACAAGGTTGATTTACTAACTATTGGAAACTATCTCCATGGAAACCGGAGAGGTCCGGTAAAACTATAAAGAAACGAAGTTGACAGAACCAGGATTCGAGCCCGCGACCTGCGGAACCCTGTGGAGCACTAGTGGATAGTCGTAGGTTCAACCTCTGTTTCTGCCGTACTCGGTTTTTTTTGTGTTCAACTGGAAACTGGGAAATAGTAATAGTATTAGTCAGTTTATTGCTAGCTTTTGGTATCTAAAGTTTGTGAAAAATGAAAAATGCGCCACCAAGAGTTTGCCACGGAGTGTTCGTTTTTCAAGGTCACGGTCGACAAAACATGGCCCATTTGAACGAGTGTCAGTAGAAAACTTGAGCTAATTTGTTATAGATTGGGGCAAAGCGTTTTGCCCCCTTACAAAAAAACTCCATATTGTTAAAACGAAAAGAAAAGGGCAAACAGATACTCGAATCATACGCTTTCGAACTTTCTGGCCGGAAAAACTAACAATTTCAAATGTCCCACGCAGCGAATTTGTCGACCATCTCCCACAATGCACTGGGAAAAATGAACTCTTGGTGGCGCACTGCATTGTGAATCGCCCGAATTTGAAAGTTGCCAAGAAGTTACAAAAGAGGCTTTGCAGCAGAAACATCGTTAGAAGCATAACACGGGATACGCGCAAATCGGTGGACGTGTAGAGAAAAAAAAGTTGTGCAAGCAGATAATATCTCAAAAAGTACCTAACATGAGTATTTCATTTTGATGGAGCATATTAATTATACTCTTGTGTATAATCAGTGAAAATGTCATGGATACCCATTCATGCATACCAGAGCTGTAACAGATTATAAAAGGATATGTGCTTTTTCAACCATTCCAATTGGAATTATACATTGCATTGGAAATCGCTCAACCGGCACTCTGCAATGGGTCTTTTCATGCACTGTGTAAATCACATTGGGAGGGTGAAAAACAGATTGCCATTTTTAATCTGTGTATCTCTGGTTTGCATGAATGGACTTTCATCAAATTTTCGCTGTGGTTATTCATAAGAGTACAAACAATATACTCCATCAACATGAAATGCTGATATTGCATACTTTTTGCGATATTTAAAGATGTCTGCTTGCACCATTTCGTTTGGTCACCCTGTATAAACTCGAGCAGAACGACGCAAATGAAAACACGACCAACACAACTTAACACAGGCAAAAAAATCTCGGTTTACTTACACTGTAAAAACGTTGGGCAAAATGTGTTGATATTTAGACCAACGTTGGTCAACATATCAACAGGTTAAACTCTTGGGCGAATTTTTCCCAATTGTTGGCAAATTTTTACCCAAATTGGGTAATTTCAGACCAATGTTGGGTAAAATTATATTGCCCAACAGTGTTTTACCCATTATTTTTTAGAGTGTAGAGCGCTCGTCGATGTGTTTTCACAGATGTCCGGACACAGACTCGCGGAGCGGGCAGGAATGCTCTCTCTGCGCCGGGAGAAGGCCACAAGCCTCCCGGCTATTTACTAGAGGACGGCCCGGTAAGAGCGCAGCCGGTCTTTTAGCGTAACCAACCAAACTAAACCCTCTTGTTCAAACACCTTGTGAGCTGTAACAATTATTTTTGTAAGGTTTGACATTTACTTTTCAGTGTAATTACATCACGTGAGTTATTTTTTTATTGGATTTAATTATTTATATAGATGGAGCCTAACATCCGAAAGGTTTTAAGCCTGCATGTTCCGCGTAACTTGAAGAAAAACTGTGGGTGTTCAACTTAACAGTTTTACAAAAAATTGTATATATAAAACAAAAGTAACAATCTGGTTTTAAATCCCACGCTTTTTGGGGTGCTAAAAAATAATTATGATCATCATAAACTATGTAACAAAAATGTAAGGTTGTCCATGTCTCGAAGTGACACAGTCGCGAAATCCCAGAAAATTAATTTTGGTCTTTTTGTAAACCGTGCTCGTTAATTTTTACCAAATTAACCGCAATGTACTCTAGATGCCATGTGGTAAAATCCCCTTCCGCCTTTTATAATTACATTTTGTACGTAAATTCAGTCGTATGATTCTTTTGACCGATGTGTTCATGAAACGGACGGCGAGAGCGATATTACGGGAGGGAAGTACTTCGGGCAAGGGACGTGACTCGCCATAACTCAGCTACCGGGCACTGCGGCGCGTTTGACCGATGAGACGTTTTACTCCGGTCCGATTCCAACTCGTTAGGCCGTACGGGCCCAAAACCGTACATCCATCACAACCCGTGTACCTACATAACGTAGACTGTGAACTCAAGTTTGTCTTGCATGTTGATAAGGCAATTAGAAAGTGTACATCACAAACACTGTGTGTGTATATTGATCGAGTCTTCAAATATAATTAGGCGAGTGGGGAAAAGGCTACCGGATCATAAGGAGGAAAATATCTGGAGAAATTAATAGGTGTGTGTTCACATGTCTTATTTTTGACAGTCATTTCAGAAATTCGACCCGGAATTGAGAAGGAAAAAAATCGTCCACAACCTGGTGGGTAGAAATTCTTTCACTCGAAATTTCGTCATGTGCGACCGCCGATAAAGACCAAAAATGGGGCTGACTTTCCCATGCTTACACTTCGGCCGCAAGAACAAAAAATATGTTTTTCTTCCTACTATTTCCTAATCGGTTATTTCAACAACTGAGATAAGATTAGGACCATTTAAAATTGTTAGTGTAACTATTTCAGTGGTTTTTATTTAAATATAATTACTTGACCAGCGCTGAGTTTATTTTTTAGTTTATCGCAAAATAGCGGCTGTCGCTTTCACTGTTCGTCCGGGGAATTTTTTTCCGGTTTTTTTTTTTTGGCTTACATTAAGAACAGCTGCGATCTGATAAAGAACCTCAGTTAGACTTTAATTTTTTTTAAGGGAATGAGACAATATCAATTAATAGCTATATATTAATCCAAGTTCATGTGGCAAGACAAAAAAAATATCTTAAGAAAACAAAAATATTAGCCCAACTTTGTCCGCACTGCATACGCGTATTATGGGGGCAGTTAAAATAAAATCCCAAAACGGTACATGAACAACGCACATGCTATTTCCCATGGTGGGTTTGTGAATCACTCTTATCTATTATTTATAACGATAATCCAGCGCTGGAAAGTGTCAGTTTTTGGCCATAAATACAAGAATCATAATCAGTGAGCTGGAGATAAGAGAATTCAATTTACAAATGATAACATCTTGCGTGACGGCGGTCGCCGAGTACGCTTGAATTCTTCCCTTCTATTTTTTTTTATATCGGTTTGAAAAAAAGCAAACATAACACGAACCTTTTTTGTGTGTGAAACGGTCCATTAATAATACGTGAAATACTTGTGCGACCTCACCGAGCTGACCAACTATATTTTATATAGGTTTAGTGCTAGTCGGATGAAAGCTTTGCTTGGTTATTTTTTTTGGGATACAAATTTATGAAACCAATTCGAAAGTCCGCTAAATTTGCCCACTGAGCGTTCCAAGTTCCAACTACCCGAACGACGACCAAAAGTTCCGCTTGTTCGTGAACAATACAGTTTGAGTAAAAAAAACCCTGAAACCCAAAAGACAGGACCAATTTTTGAATGAAGCTTTACCTGTATCATTTCCAAAATCTAGGATAAGTTATGAAACCCAGTCATTAAGCTTTCTTTTAATACAAGAATCATTCAAATCACTCATGTACTTGTCAAGTTACGGAATTTGGAACACAAACACCGTTTTAAAGTTCTGTCCACGGATCACAAAAAAAGGTAAGTGTTCTTTCAGCAAAACGAAAACAATTCATACGCATCCCCATGAGAATTGTTTTCGTTTTGCTGAAAGAACACTTAACTTTTTTGGTGATCCGTAGACAGAAATTCAAAACGGTGTTTGTGTTTAGAATTCCGTAACTTGAAAAGTACAAGAGTGATTTGTATGATTCTTGTACTAAAAGAAAGCTTAATGACTGGGCTTTCATATCCTAGATTTTGACTGCGCTACAGGCAAATCTTCCTTCAAAAACTGGTTCTGCCATTTGGGTTTCGTTTTTTTTTTACTAACCCTGTATTCCATGTTAATTTTACAATACTCTATCACATGAACAAAACAGATCGAACGATGTGTAACCTTTATGTTTTTTGGTATAATGCGGAACGCACCTATGTAATCACATAGCTTGTGTTCTTAAGCAGGAGGTTTTACTATGATTACGTCTCTCCATGCATACAGGATCATACAAAATTCGAAAGAGGTGAAGGATAGTAATGTTGTGACAGAGCAGAAGTGAACATATGTGTCAAGATCACGCACCTATTAGTTGCAAAATTTCTGAAAATTGGACGAGGTGTAATTATCTTGACTCTACATTTTAAAAGGTACAATTTTGGTGTCAAATTGTTTTAAGCTAACCAAAGTTCCAAATTTCTCATACTTCCTGAAGGATGTTTCCCGAGAGAAATGTATCTACTGTGGTTGTGGGGGATAAAATAAAATTATGAATAATTAAACATTTCATGAATTTGAAGTGGCGAATCTCATTCGTCTTTCAATACATAATGTCCACATAGACCGTCATTATAACTCATTTCAAGTGTTCTAAAGGACTTTATTTTTTCAGGTACTATAAAACAGGGTATGAACATGTAAGCCTATTGTGTTTTTCACAACATGACTCGCCGCAATATTTACCCAAGCCATTGACTTCGAATTGATGATGATTCGCCGTTCATATACTGACTGATGTTCCACTAAATTGGTTCAGCTCGGATAAATGTTAACTTTCTCTTGAGTGTTTTCGAGAACTCTTTTGTCGACTCGAGAGCCGCGC